ACCACGTGAATGACGAGCTGCAAAGGACCTATTTTTTAGGAGCCCAAGCGGGTGGTGTTCAATAGACAGGAGGCGTTTCTGATTGTCGCAATTCATTGCAATACTAATCATGATCGCACATTGTCACACCTGTCGCAACTTGTAATTCGGTAGTCACGGACACTCTTCTTTCGTATTTGGAAACTTTCGGTCGTTGGGATCAGAAACGCCTTTAATTCGAATACTCCGCTGGTAACCCCTATTAGTTACAGAAAAGAGACGTCATTGTTATTTCTAAGGATTTCATCACAAACGGGACATAAATACCATTTATTTCAGGGGTGTTATTCAATGCTCGTTGCAGGTGTCTGTAAAGCTGAAAATTTGCAACAGGCAAAATAATCCTTTTTACTAGACATAGCTATGATTAACATTTATTAGTGGAACAGTTTGCCCCCCACACTAGCCAAAGCCCAAAGTCTTAATGTTTTTAGAGTGAGGTCTGTGAGCTGAAACAAACGAACCTGACCGAATCCGTGCAGAGAGGGAAAATCAAAGATCAAATTTTGGCAGAACCTTGCTATGCTACACCAAAAAAAAGCAAAACTTTAGCAAATTTTTTTCCTCACAATTTTTTTTTTGGCCATCTAATTAAAGGAGGATGAAGACAGTTTAATAGGTTGTGAATCATTACCATTCATTTCAGGGGTGCTATTCAATACTCGTTGCAGGTGTCAGTAAAGTTGAAAATTTGCCACCTGCAAAATAATCATACTTATTAGACATAGCTATGATTAACATACATTAGATTAAACATAGGTTTTCCATCTTTGCCGTGGAAACATGGACGATTTAAAACAATCCTATAACGTTTTGAAGGTCTACGCAAATTCCAGTCATCAGATTTTCTTATATTTATATTGTATAAATACAAGTAAAAATATAAATAAATATATTTATAAGCTTGATTTGTGAAAATTAAAATCGCCCAGGAGAACGACATTAGACAGTTTTGTGGATGAATATCTTTGTAGGAATTCCTGGAACGTGACAAGAAGCTCATCAGGCTCAGGAGGACAATAAAACACCGATAGCAGAAAACAAAAAGAGGACTAAGACTTGTATAAATTACACATGCCAGCATTTCCACTTCTCAGGATCTCTTCTCCTTAAACAAGTGAGGTGGGATTTAACCGCAAGCAAGACTCCTCCACCTCTCTTTCCTTGCCTGTCTTTCAGATAAACATTTCATAGCCCCGCAAGTGTAATTCATTGTCAGATATGCTGCTTAGGTTTCAGTGATCGCAACAATGTCAAATGAATCCAATAGCAATAGACTCTGAAGATCTGTGATTTTGTCGCGTAGACGTCTTGCATTGAGAAGACTGAGAACCAGACATTTATCTTGATTTATGATAAGCAACGTGTGGCCGCCGCTCGCCTCCAATCAGAGGCCTCCTCTCCTTTTCTCCCCTCGCGAGTCCTCGAGATTTCTTCCTCTTAAAGATTGGCGCCTGCTACATACGCAGGCTAAAAATTCCTGCCTCAAATTAAAAGCGTCCAGCTTTAATTGGTTCGGCTGTTGATGAGGCAATTGACTCGTTAGTAAAATCATCTTAATGAAAAAGGATTTTTTTCATCATCTCTTTGACAGTGAATAAAATCAATTCATTCTGTAAAGTATAATTATAAATAACGGACAATATGTAAAAGATCTTAAAACAGTTTCGCACTTCCCGGAATTTGCGTCTTGAGTTGGAGGGCATGTTATTTAAATTCAAACTATTGAAAAATGAGTATAGGTTTTGGAATAAATTGTGAAATCATGATGTCATTTTTATTCACAAATCGTTTCAAAAACAAAGTATTAACAAAAGTTTTGCATGAGAATAAATCAAAAACATTAAAGTTTAATTTGTTATCACTGATGCACTGAAGATCAGTCCACAAGAAGGACGAGGGAGTCTCAATTCAAAGTTACATAGAAGCTTTGAGGTGAGCGATCCTCCGGGTGTTCCTTGTTGAAGTAAAACCTTAAGTTTGTAGTAGGACCTTGTAGATGTGGATAACTACGGGTAGGTCAGGGAAAACTTGGTCACTGAAAAGGCGAAGGCCGCTTCGAGGCAAACACGCTCGAAGACCTTAGCAAATGTTTTGCTACATGTGAACACGAATAGCGAAGTAAATTCCCAGAAAGTGCGGAAAAAATAGAGGTTAATGGGGTGGTGGCTTTTACGGTTATAGGCTTAAGTTATGTTTTTTTAAGGCTATCGGTTAATTTTTTTTAGTTACGGTAAACAAGAGTTAAATATTAATAAACCTATATTTTTTGTATCTTTAAAGCAAATAAATGTCTTAGGGCGGATCATCTTGGGATGAAATAAGTTTTTCTTTTGAAAATTTTAAATAATTGATAGATCATGTTTTTAAAGTATTCCACTTCTAATATTATTTTACGCATAGAAATGTTGACTATGAAAACGAAAATCAAGTTGTTTGTCGTCTTTTGCATCTTACCGTGACTTCCTTCTTATTCGTTCTTCGCGTCGTCGCTTTGTTTTTGCTACCCTCTTCTCTTTTTACTACCACGATGGGGTCTTAACCCCAATGAAGAACAGATTGTACAACATGAACGAAAAAGGGACAAGCAAACAGAATGAGAACTCGAACAGTTCTGCGACTTTCGCATTTACAAGTGTCGGAGCCAGGCTGAGAAGTAGGGCTTTGAAGATCTTTGCCGCATAAGAGTTTTCTCATTCTCTTAAAATGACATGAACTCTTTGTTTAAGATTAAGCTATTGCCAGTCAACTAAAATGTTTTTTGAGCCATGAAAAGGATCATTCCTGATAAAAGACATAACAGTTCATTTGAAAAGAATCTTCGTGAAAAGCAAAACTAGCAGAAACGCGAACGTACGGAGTCAATTAAAGTGGCCGGGAAATTAGAAACACAACCGGTCATAAGTGAGTTTAGCAGTTTCCTCAAAAATATCAAATCTGGGTGTCAGTAAAACGCGGGGTTGGGGTCTATCTTTTTTTAAAGAATGCTGTTTTAGGGTTAGGGTTAGGGTTAGGGTTAGGTTAGGGTTATTTAGGGTGAGGGTTAGGGTTAGTATCAACTCTAACCCTAACCCTAAAACAGATTCTTTAAAAAAGAGACGGCCCCGACCTCGGCCCCAGCCCCGACCCCGCGTTTTACCGACACCTATCGAATCTAAGGAGCAAAAGTTTTTTAGGTTAACTATTTTTACCCTAAATTTTGGGCCGTTTTACGCCATCGGTTAACCCCATTCAGACCCTCGTACAATAGAGACATCAAACTACCTTAACACGACTGCAAAACGGAATGCAAGGAAACGATAAAAAACGAGGCTGCTTACCAGGAGCCGATTACTCAATCGGCTCCTGTGCTTACCAAATGCTAAGGAGGTTAACAAGGTTTGGAGTTCGGGGAACCGAGAAAAATGAAAAGGGCGAGATAAGAAACCACATACGACTAAAGTTACATTTGGCGCGTTTTTACGCGTTTTTTAAAAGATTTAAACTACTATGAGGTGAAATTGCATGTCAACAGCGCTTCCTTTTCTACAGATAACGGCCAAGCATCAAGATTCATTTTTTACCACATTTCTAACCACTAAAACTTCATCTCAAAATATCTCGATAACGCTCTTACAGAGTTCGCTTAAACTTCACGAACATCGAGGCGGCTATTGGAAGAAAAAGCTCTCGTAAACGATTTTGGAAGAACAGTTCCCAGTGCCGAGAGATACTGCTGCAAGTAAAATAGGTAATGGCGTAATTTCGTTGCTATGACAACTCCGATGTCATTGCAACCCAGATCATAACAAATTTCCTTCTTTATTTAATACAACTGTGGTGGCAATTTTTCCAAATCTTTTTTTATGTCGACGTAATTTATGCTCAAACTTGGGAGGTGTTGACCCTGAAAAACTGTATTGGAGCTACCTTAATCAACTGCGTTGATAAAATTTGCAGATCATCAAGATGCCTTTCACAGGCCCACTCTTTGCTCTGAATTATCATTCTTTCTCCATGATAAATAGCTACTCTGAATTTTACCAGAAAGTTGAGGCCAATTACTCAATCATTTAGCATTTTTGTCACCTGAGTATCAGTTTGTCTATCAAAAGGAGCTCCAATTTGCATTGCTAAGTTATTCCATTTTTGAATGTCGTTCTAGTGCTGTAGCGGCTTGCATGTAGACTTGCCACAAGTAGACCTCACGAGCTTCTAAGCGAGCGGAGTGGGCTTTTTAGGCCACGAGTAGAAGCGGCCGAGCAAAATAGAGGTCTTCATCTTTATCCCGCGCCATATTAAATCGGACGAGGGACTTTTTAAAGTTTAGCTTGCATACTTGATGCCCAAAATACAAAGTGAAGTCGACATGATGTGGGGTGGAACACTACACGCGGTATAGTGCACATAATTCCGACTAGTAGACTTCCCTTGCGCAAGCTCAGAGATCATGATTACATGGTCAAAGCCCCAGGGAGGGGGAGGTACTCCCTAGTAATAGGCTAATGGGGATGTGCCGCTGGATAGGGTCGCATTTCACGGCTTGATTGACCATAAAGAGGTTCCATTTTCATTAGAGTTACTAGAATGGGATCGCACATTTTCGGCATTTGGGAGATCAGAAAATTTAGCAGGGATTTAAAAATGGGAAGATTTTCACTTTATTAAGTTTAACCAATGTATCATTTCACTTCAGGATGACCTTGTTAAAAGGCCTTTTACAAGAGATACATACACAAAAAGTTGTTGGGTTCGCGAAAATTACATATTTACCCAAACGTGACTAAGATGAGGTCTATATTTGGCCACAGAATAGACTATAATGGGGTATAGGGGCTCCGAGAGGCCAGCGGCACATACCCAGCAAAAATTAACTAAAGTAACCCCCCTCCCACCCGGGGAGGGGATCAAAGCAGTGCCTTCACTTATATTAACAAGGGTAACTTGCACTATGAATTAAGAAATTCTTTTTCTTGACAGAAATGAAGTTCAACAGCATCCTTCTGCATATGCTCATCTGCTGTTTCTCCGAGAAGGCTATAGCAAGTCAATGTAAGGCAGCTTCTTACTCCGTACAAGATCACGTGCTTATAAACCACGCCATCAAGGCCGGGCCGGCAGAGCTGATTGAACAGTGCATCTCTCGGTGCATCAAACATCCCGGTTGCCATAGCAGCAATTTTTATAGAAAGAGAGGATGGTGTGAACTGAATGATAAAACGCAGGCTTCTCACCCTGAAGATATGAGACAAGTTCGATTTACAAACTACATGGAGAATACTCTCAGACCTTTTACCTGCATCACCCACCCAGATTGTGGCAGTAATTTGATCTGTTCTTTATCGAAGTGCGTAGGTGAGTTGATAACGGTTCGCCACCAGGTATAAGTAATCTCTTGATGCAAAATTATAAATGGGCAGTACGGTGCATAGTGTGCTTAGCTGGGCGATTTCTTGCGCGCTGATCAGTCGAGGTTTCTCTTGTTGAAGAGCGTAGCTAGTTCGGCGGCGGGTAACTGCCAGCCGGTTATTAAAAAGCTTAAAAAATTTGCAACTTCACACGATCTTACGCAACTCATTACTGAGGCCACCCGAGTGACGGAAACCTGTCAATCCTTGCTTGACGTGATTTTAGTGAACAATGATCACCGCATCAATGACTCCGGTGTTGTTCCTGTTTCGCTGAGTGATCACTACCTCGTCTATTGTGTTTTAAAAGCAGGTGTAATTAAGGCACCACCGAAGACAATTGAATACCGCTCTTATAAAAACTTTGATGCGAACACCTTCCTAGCGGACTTGAATAACGTCCCATGGCACATCATTGAAAACGAGGAAGACATCGACGACGCCGTGTTTATTTGGAATCACTTGTTTTCTGAAATAGCTGACCTGCATGCGCCCGTGAAAAGGCGAAGAATACGAGGTGTTCCGCTCCCGTGGTTGAATGATACAATCAGTGAGGTGATGAAGGATCGTGATTTTCACCATCGTAAAGCCGTGAAAACCAATTCTGCTTTTCACTGGGCTCGCTATAGAAAGTTAAGAAATAGGGTCAATCGTGAAGTCAAGGCAGCAAAATCCAAGTATTATTGTGACTTGATTTTAGAGGCTAAAGGGGATTCAGGAAAGATCTGGAAGGCGGTGAATGAGGTGTCTTCGCGCAAGACTAAATCCTCGAGCCCACAATGTATCGTAGTTGATGGTGTTGAACACACCACCCCAGCCTCTATTGCATCCGTGCTCAACTGTTATTTCTCATCCATTGGCAGAAGTCTTGCAAATAAAATATCAGCTGCTGCTATGTTCCCAGTCAGATCGGCCACGATGCTACAGTCTTTCTCGCTTGACGAAGTTGATGAGAAAACAGTACTCAAGCATCTGCTTTCTCTAAAGACAAATAAAGCTATTGGCTTGGACAACATCAGTGCGAGACTTTTAAAGTGTGGCGCGCGTGCTATTTGTCCCTCGATCACCAAGTTACTGAATCTCCCCAGTATTCGCACTGGCAATTTTCCTGAAATATGGAAATGCTCGAAAGTGGCTGCACTTTTCAAAACTGGAGATAGGAGAGATGCGTCAAATTATCGCCCAATTTCTATTCTGCCAACAATGAGTAAAATTCTGGAAAAAGTCGTCCATTCCCAATTCTATGACTTTCTGAATTCAAATAATCTCCTTTCAAGCAAACAATTTGGCTTCCGTCCCAAACTGTCTACAACATCGGCTCTCACCAGTTTTGCAGATGAGGTCCTATTGCATATGGAGAGTGGAGAACTGTGCGGTGCAGTGTTCCTAGATCTGACCAAGGCATTCGATACCGTTGACCATACGATCTTGCTATCTAAATTGTCGGCTATCGATGTCTCGCCCAGCACTCTACAGTGGTTCAAGTCTTACCTGAATCATCGTAAACAGCGGACTGCCTGTAGCGATGCTGTGTCTGACCCTCTCCCGATGACCTTTGGGGTGCCACAGGGGAGCATTCTAGGACCGCTTCTCTTCTTGGTTTATATTAATGACCTTCCGCTGGTTATAAAGAATTGCGAAGTGACTTTGTATGCTGATGACACGGTCCTGTACTACTTTGCTAAAGAGCCACACCTGTTAGAAGAGGCACTGAATGATGATCTCTTGAAAGTTGCCCAGTGGTTACATGGAAATAAGTTAACTTTAAATCTTACTAAGACGAAATCCATGATTATAGGCAGTAATAGGAAACTTGTTGGTATTTCCTCTTTCACGTTATCTATTTTTGACACTGATATAAATTCTGTAAGTAGTTTTAAATATTTGGGAGTTATGTTGTCTTCAACTTTCACATGGTCCGACCATATTGAGTATATTTCATGTAAGGTTAATAAAAACCTTGGTCTTCTACGTAGGATTAAGTATTATTTACCTTATGATGCCCGGTTACTTTTTTTATAATAGCTTAGTGCTACCTATTTTTGATTATGCTGATTTAGTCTGGGGTGACAAG